GTGTGATTTAACACCATTAGATTTCTTTTTATGGGGTTATTTGAAATCACAGGTCTATGTCAACAAGCCCACAACCACCCGTGCATTAAAGGAGGAGATTCAACGCTGCATCAACGAAATTCAGCCACATTTATGCAAAATGGTCATGGAAAATTTCGACAAACGAGTGCGTATGTGCATGCAAAGCCGTGGAGCCATTTGCCCTATGTGTTATTCCACAAATAACCCTATCCTATGTACTTTATGATTCAATAAAAAAATAACAATTAAAAGACTAAAAACTGTGTTTTCTATTTAATTCAAATCTTGCGTTAATTTTGGGACACCCTTTATATACATTTATACATTTTTAGTAAAAATGTTAAGAGTAAAGTAAGGGACAAATAGTATGTAAAATCAATGTATTTATTTAAATATTGCATTAAAATAAAAAACATATAATAAGTACGCACTTCTTAAATCTAATAAATATAAAAAAAATAAAAAAACAAATTAATATTAACAAAATTAATAAATCAAAATACATTTATACACAATAATAACAATAATTTTGTATGGTAAGAAAATTTATTTTAAGAACATTACAAATATGCATACAATATGTGTATGTAGAATTATGACTATACTAAATATAATGTTAATGTACGCTTAAATTAAGAAAAAATATTAAAATTAATATAAATAAAATTTTTAATCCTGTTAAAAAAAATGTTCACATACATATACATAACATACAATATTATAATTTATGCATTTAATATACATATAATATTTTTAATATTTATAATAATTTGAAGAATTTTTAATATTTTAAATTTATAAAAATGTGTTCACATACATATACATAATATATTTACATGCATTTAATATACATATAATATTTTCAATATTTATAATAATTTAAAGAATTTTTAATATTTTAAATTTATAAAAATGTTTTTAAAAAGTAATTTTATTTTGTTTATATTTTAGGAAATATTATAAAATTTACCAGAAATTCATAGAAATTGTATAATAATATTAAAATCATTTTTAAATTATATGAAAAAATGTACAAAAAAATTTTTTACCAAGAAAATAGTATTTTAATTCTATTTTCAATAATTTTAAGTTTTAATAAAAGAAATAATAATAATAAAAATCTAATAATAAAAATTTTCTATTCTAAATTTTACATGTAATTTAAACTTATGGCCCGCAACGCATATGTATCTAATTACACAACTTTTCCAATGGAAAATGTTTCTTTTTTGTAGTTTTTCATTCATTTTTACAGCTATTATGATTTTTGGTGTGAGAAACACATACCTATTTGTGCAAAAAAAATAAATTTTAAGATTAAAAATCTAGGAATATGTTATCTTATATATATATATATATATTAAAACAGTGTACAATCAGAAAGAAACAGAAATCACCGTTAATCATGCTAGAACACACAAAGAATCACGCAGTCAAGACTGCTCACACACTCGCATGTTTGCGCCCTAATGAGAAAAGAATAGTGAATGAGAATGAACCATGAAACAAACGATCAATATTAAATTAATTAAAAGTAAGAATAAGAATTGTTGCATGCGTATAGATTATAGACATTTCTTTTCTCTCAACTCTCAATCATTTGTCCGTACCTCAGCTACTCGATCCACCTCGATATGGCCAAAGAGAAAGCAAAAAAGAATAAAGTTTCCTGTTATAATAACACAGATATAATTTAATAGACTATATATCGCAAGAATAAATAAGAAAACAATTAATAACAAGTAATGTTATTATTACAATTAATAATATTACTTTTAAACATTACTTGCTATACAATAAGTAATAGAATCATGAATCTTATTACACACATTCAACTTAAATACTACAGTTAATAAATAAAAATTAGTAGAAAATATATTTTCAAAAACACACTTATTATAGAGAAAAGTTAAGAATAACAAATATAAAAACAAGACTACATGAATTAAAGAAATAAATAAGAGGACCAACAATTATAAATGTAAAATATTACATAATTTCCTGTTTTTTTTTAACACTTTTTCTGCATTCCTTATTATGTTGAGTAAAGTAAAATAAATACGCATGCGCATAAATAATTTTATTAAATAAACTTGTGGAAAATTTGGGCACGATTTTTCAAAAGATAACGGTCTAAGCAAGTTCAAATAAATAATTACCAATATTTTTTTTAAAACAATTACTTTCAAAATTAATGACAAATATTTTTTCTAATTCATGTATAAGAACAAAAATTAAAACCTGCTACATGCAAACTTTCAAATGAATTTTCTTCCATGGTAGCAAAGCCGTGGAACCAAAGAAATTTTCAGCACAATCTTGATTTATTCTTCGTATGCGCAAATGTGGAAAATCATGACATTTTAATCTCTTCCAAAGTAACATTATGTTTTTAATTATTACCTGCTAGCATTCAAAATAGTAACTTTAATTATACACGTACATTATTCTTATTAATTATTTTAATAGTTTTCAAGAAATATATTATTTGTTCTAAAAATTGAATTTGTTTTTCATTTCCAGTAAATACTTTTCCATATTCTTTAGGACTATTTATTGAAGAAGAATTTAAAATATCAAATAATTTGTTAAAATTATCAATGAACTCTATCGTTCCCACTGCTTCAATTGATAGAAAGCCTTAGGACATTTGCCTGCAGCTACGCAATTTCTAAAAATTTAAACGGCATATTTGACTTTCATTTTTTGAAAACTGGTAGATTCAATGTAATTTTTAGATAACTTTGGAGCAGTTTTAATCCATTGTTTATTATCTCTATTATAAAATTCTACAATATAAGCCCATGACGCGACTTTGTTCACTACAAATTCTACACGATGTTTATATAAATTGTCGCGTGTTCTTTTCATTAAATAAGGCGTAACAAATATATATTAAATAATATTTCGAACTCATCAATTAAAAAAATAGAATTGTCTGTTGAAATGCCCAATTCACGAGACTGCATGAAATTAGACCCCATATCCGAAACTAAAGCGTGTACAGTAGCATCTTAACCTTGTAACTTACGAATAACATCAAATATAAGACATTTTAATCTATTTGATTTACACGTTGTTTTCACCAAACAAAAACAAACTGGAAGTTTCCATTTTCCTGCACTGGAAGTTTCCATTCCTACTGCGTACCATAATAACTAAAGCATTTTTGGCTGTTTTTTTTCATTTTTCACTCGTATCTTCAAAACCAATTATTTCATTTTGTCAAATGTTATAAAATAAATGAGTTTTTAAACTCATTTCGATACACAATATACAATTATTCCGTTCTAAAGGCGGCTAATGAATTTAGTTTTACTGATATAACATCAAAAATATTATTATTTATGCCGGGTTTTACCTGCCAGGTTTGCGTAAATGATTGAAGACTACGCACAGAAGATAATTGTTTTTTAAGTTCTCGATAATTTCGCGAGCTTAAAAAATACAATCGTAATGCAAATTGTTTAAATTCGATAGTGTATCTTCTTCCATGTTTGCTTTTAATTTGGGCATCAATCTGTGCGGATAATAATTGTGAAACATTCACGGATAGTAACTGACAATCCAATTGACGAAGAATTTCGTATTTCTTAGGATCTTCCTTACTTTTTCTTGTATTTTCCATTCTTTGTATTTTCTTTTGGAGTCTTCTAATTCTTTCGCATAATTTTTTATTTTCTACTGTTAATTTTAAATTCCGTTTTTGTAATTTTTTCTTTTTCGGGGTTTTTGCTACAGTTGGTATATGTGTGGTCTTCGATGTGCTCTTATATGCAGAAATAGAACACCATTGTAAAAATATATTGATATATAAAAAAAAAGATGTCAAAATATTAAGAAAGATATATTAACGATATTAAGATTAAGTAAACCAATCGAGATATATTATACAATATTATTATACGTAGTATAAAATACTACTATTATACAATCATGTATTTTACTTTTACATTTATATTTTACTATGTTTAAAAATAGCTAAGAAAAAAATACCATAATGCATTTATATAATCAAAATGCATTTATATAACTACTTTTTAATAAAACTTACGGTTTAGTCATTTCGACATCTTTATCCATAAACAAGTAGACCTGTATATGAGTATCTACAGGCATAGGTTTTGATGATTGGATGTCGCTAAAACATGATACACATTTTTAATACAATACTTGTCTTGATAAAAAATAAAATATGTTTTTACAACAATACATTATAACAGATTATAATAGCTGATGTAGATTATAAAACCAGTCATTATTACAAAGGGAACAGAACACTGTAAAGGCCGGAAAAGTAACAATATTTAAGAACTTTTTTTTAAAAGCAAATAAAACACATATAAATGTGGTAAAAGTACATAATTTACAAAAGTACATAATTTAGTGTGTATCTAGAAAAAAAAACCCATTATTTCCATTTTTGTGAGCTAACACAAACAATCCTCCAAAAAAAGAATGGGCTAATTGATACGATTTCCGTAAAGTGATTGATCTAAAATAAAAAAACCAAAATAAATCTTTAAATATATCATTCTTTAAATATATCATTCTCTTCACTTTTATCACAGAGAATTTTAAATCTAGAAAAATTTTTTAAAATTACAGAATTAAAAAGGTAAAAAAGGATTAAAATGTGACATTTTTATTTAAATTGAATAACTCTTTTATTTGTCAAATTTTACAATTTTCTATACACTGATAAGAGTGATCTCTATTTTAAAATTCATTTTGGTTTTTTTTTATTTTACCATTATCAACCGTTTTACAGAGATTATATTAAGTTAAGTAAAAAGTCATCGCGTTTTTTTAAAAGACATCTATCAGTAAAAATCGCAATTACTTTCTTACCAACAATATAAATATATCTTAATAGAGTAAAGTTTCAGCTTTAAAAATCTCTTTTTTAAATTATACGATACGACAATTTTTAATGGAGTTATGAGCAATTAAAGTCAAAATAATTATTTTATTTAATCCGCGATAACTCAGTAATCAAAAGTCGTAGGAATATAAAAAAAAAACGATTTTGTAGGGAAAGTATCAAGCTTTCACGATAGGTAATCGAAAATTTTCTCAAATTCGTTTTGGACACGTTACAAATCCACAAAGTGAGAAGAAAATTTTTCGTCTTTTTCAGCTCGTAGTTTTTGGTATGTAAAAATTATCAAACTCATATAAACTTAAAAAATGTGATAAGCTTTTAAAAGTAGAGATTTCAAGCTTTAAAACCCTTTTTTTAAATTTGAATTTCATTCATTATTGACGAAGATATTGTATATACAACTTTGAGCTAAAAAATACGCGATGACTCTTTTTACTCAACCTAATATTAATCAATCTAGCTTTCTTTTTTTAAAGGCTTTCTTGCGTCAGCTTTGAAAGGCATAAAAATGGAAAATAATTGGAACCTTTTTTTTCTACATGCACATTAAAATACAATATGTACTTTCGTATAAATAAAACTATAAATAAAATTTCATTTATATGTAGTTTTCTTTTAAAAAATTCTGAAATATCGTCTATTTTCTGGCATCTATATTGTCCCCATCTTGAAAAAAAATATTGTATAAAATATATAAAATATATAAGATAAATAAAAGAAATATAAATATTAAGATATATAAATATTGTATATTATATAAAAGTTAAAAAAAAACCTGTTTGTTTCTTCTTGTTGAATCTTGTCCTCATCTTTTTTAATTATATTTTCTTCTTAAAATAATGTTACAGGCGTAATGCTGTAAAAATTGTAATATTAATTTATATATAATAAATTTACTATTTAAAAAAACCATATGTTGTTCAGAGTAGAAAATGCTTTGTAAAAAATTTATGATTTACTTTCTTCCAAAAAATATTGTTGAAACAGCATTAGGAAGAAGACTGGCTCTACATCTGTCTGGCTGACATTTGAAAATTTTGTACCACTTTTCTTCAAAATGCAAATGGCACAGTCGATAGTTGCGATAAGCGTATTCTGGGCTCATCATTTGTAAATCAAATCTTCTACATGCGTGTATCCATTGCAACCATCTATAAATGTTACAGAAATAGTACATATACGAGGGTCGTTTGAAAAGTCCGTGCAAAAATAAAAACTACTTAATTTTTTGGGGTAAACTTTTTTTATTTTTCAACATAGTCACCTTTTAGGCTTATACACTTCGTCCAACGCTGCTCTAATTTGTTGATCCCTTCCGAATAATAGGATTTGTCCAAGTCTGAAAAATAGCCATTTGTTTCTGCAATCACGTCCTCGTTTCCATAAAATCTTTTTCCCGCCAGCCATTTCTTCATATTGGGGAACAAATAGTAGTCCGAGGGAGCCAAGTCTGGAGAGTAGGGGGGATGTGAGACGTGTTGGAACCCTAATTCCATTAATTTTGCGACCACAACTGCTGAGGTGTGAGCTGGTGCGTTATCGTGAAAATCACTCGACTTCCTCGATTCAAATGAATGCCAAACACAAACAAATAGACCGATCTGGCTGTAACTTGGTGTGTGTTCCTCCAAGAGATGCTACTAACTAAATCTAACCTTGATACGCGCCAGTAGTGCCATCTCTCTGACTTTGCACGGACTTTTCAAACGACCCTCGTACATATGTACATATATATAGAAGAATATTAAAAAATTAAAAGTACACACATATATATTGTAATATAAAATTATAAATATTTAAAATAACTGATTTATACATGCTTTAAAAAATAATTGAAATAAATTTATACCTATCACATTCCTTTGGAAATATAAAAAAGTGTCTTTTCTGTGTAACATTATAATTGCACTCCTTCATAATATATTATATATACACTATTTACATATCTGCGCTGTTCAGCTATCGGAGATCCTTCGGATGATCCTTCTCCTATGCAGATATGTATATCTCAGGCGATCCACAAATCTGAAAGGCACCGCTTTCGCTAGAATGGCCGCAGCCTCGTGGGAGACAGTGCGGTAAGCTCTTATGACTCTGAGCGATAGCCGCCGCTGGAGCTGCTTCACTAAACGATAGGCGCCGGTCCCTGGCTACGGTTTGCGCTCAAATCGGTGCCATAAAAGACCATATGACCATCGAGATGTAGACTTGACGCCTGCCTTTTCTTGGCCTACCGATATTGGCAAAGAGTCTATCAATAGCGGCGGCTATCCTCCAAGCCTTAGGGAGAAAGAGGTGAAAATGATCCCGGAAGTTCCACCTCAAATCCAGGACTAATCTCAGGTATTTCATCCCCCTCCCCTCTTCATATCCAAAGGCACGCCTCAAGGATATCATCCGCCATGAAGGCGACCATCTCCGTTTTGCCGAACGATACCGTGAGGCCCAGGTCCTTAATGGCTCGAACGATCACCGCCACCCCTGATTTTGCCCGTACTAATGCCTTTTTAAACGAGGAGTTCGTCACAACAATGAGAATATCATCGGTGTAGCATATGGTGAAGCAGCCCATCGACAGCCCTACACGCAACATCGAGTCATATCCTATATTCTATAGGGTTGATAGGGTCATATCCTATATTCTATAAGTTCTATAGGGTCCTATATTCTATAGTCGATCCCAAGACCGAACTCTGCGGAACGTCACAGGTCATTAATGACCTCGTGAAAGAGTCATCACGGTCCATATAACAGAGTGACTTATCAGACAGATAGTCGCCCAATATCTGTCTAAAATATCCCGGAATCCTCTTGAACTCCAAGGAGTGAATCACAGGCCACAGGAGAACGGGGAGGAGAGACGACTCTTTTGGCAGTGGAAGCGTCCCTAGCCGAGAAGGCACGGGGGTTGAGTACAGGAGAGGGTAGAAGTAGGCGCCCGAAGAGAAGCGTTCAGGCCTGGTGGTTAAGGAAGTGCGCTAGAACAGTCTCGAGATAAAGGCGGGCGAAAGGGAGGCGAAGGGCTCCCTGCGGAAAGCGCCCTACTCCAAAAGGTTCTTCAGGACAGACGTGCCGCGAACTATTCGAGAGAGAAAGAGTTCCGCACAAGGCAGCGCGACAGTCGTTATCTTCGCGACAGGCTAGAACTTCAAATAAATATCAACTAGGTTGTCAAGTATTACGATAGAGCTATTATTTATTTCTATACAAAGAAAAACACAAGGACTTCCGGAGCCCGAGACGGAATTGATTGCTAATAGAAATTACAAATTTAGGAAAGTACGCGTAACGCGAGAATTTATAAACATGGAATTATAAATACGGAGAATTTACAAATATGAAAAGTTTACAAGTATCTAAATAGATTATATAAAAGTTATATAAGTATGATGAATTGGAACTTAAACGAATTTTATAATTATACACAAGTAACGAAAATTTTATAAGTATAAAGAGTACGGTGCCGTGAGCATTCTAAGTTCCCCGTCGGGACTTAGCCGCTGGCTCAATGAGAAAGCTTTTAAGTATTGAGAACGTGTCGTACTTACCGTGCTATCGGGAAAATAAACTAACTTAGATAATTGAACGAACAAGGTGACTATGCTATAATAGTATGTATATTTGAAATGAGAGCTAGAGATCCTCACAGCATTAGTTTATATACTCCAAAGGGGTGACGTCTTGCGTTGAGAGAGGCATGATTCTAAAATATTCTACAGATTTTCATTTGCCTATTATTCGCTAGATATTAACGATCTCCGGTATCACGATGAACAAACAATTGAGCCGTGCGGCGTATCATTTGCGTTTCCAACCATTCTTCAGAAGTATGTTTATGCATGATAGGTTATCGACGAAACGCATCGTAATGAAAGCGGTATCGTAAATCTCGATAATTCGGAAAGTGCGGGCACACACTGGGTCGCTTATGCAAAAAAAGGAAATAACGCTATTTATTTCGATAGTTTTGACAATCTTAGACCGCCAAGGGAACTCGAACGCTATCTCGGAGGCAACGTAACGTATAATCATCGCTCTTATCAAACGTTCAGAGCATTTGTGATCAATTATGTCTATGATTTCTTCGAGAGATAGATTGGAGGAAAAAATATATCTAATACTACGTCGTGTGAGTCATCTCAGTTGATCGTTTACCTTCGATTCAATCATGTCGTTGACTCTCACGTTGGCTGGAACAACCAGTATCCTCACAGCGAGTTACTTTCTTGCGTTGGATTTAAGTAATGGTGAATACTAATTGGGTCTCGTGAATTTTGAAACGTATAACGCGATACCGAATGTTACTTTCACGAATAATAAATTCTACTTCGATACCGACGATAAAATAATTACGATTCCCGAAGGATCGTACGAATTGAGTGCTATAAACAAGTATCTGAGAGCTGCTATTCTTCACACACAACGACGAACGCTTAACGATAAAGATAATAATGACGATGATTACATATTCGACGACGACGACGATAGCGACGATAGTAATCATAAAGAAGAAATACTGATTCTTCGAGCCAATGAAAACACTATGAGAAGCGAGATCAAATGTGCCAAATAAATTTTACGAAACCGAATAACATTGATTCACTATTAGGTTATTCAAAAACTCGCGTAATACAACCGAACAAATGGTACGCGTCTGACAAACCTGTAAACATTATGAATGTAACTATAATTTGTATAGAATGCAACATTACTTCAGGAGCGTACAACAACGATAAACCAGCGCATATAATACACGAATTCACGATGAACGTTCCACTTGGATATAAATTGTCCGATACTGCCACACACGTCATTTATCTGCCATCGCGCGAAACGTTACCGATATAACGATACGTATAGTGGATCAAAACGGACAATTGATAAACCTTGAGAAGAGATATCGATTCGATTTCATATACGACGCAGACGATAAAAAATATGCTCACGAGCGAAAGATGCTCGTTCTAAACAAGTCGCACGATCGTAAGAATACATCCACCACAATCATACCGCAGAAGTCGCAATTATCATCGCTCAACGAACGATACGTTGGAAGAAAACAGAGAGGAACGGAGGACAGATTGAACGCTGCGAAGGTCGCATTTCTACGATCTCTGGGATTCGTCGTGAAAAATGAATCACGATATTCTAAATATAGGGGGTGAGCCCATCTTCGACAATCGTATCATTAAGAACGAGACTCACACTTACAACCCATACGCTAACACCACATTCGGATACAGCGATGAAATACGAATACCTATACAACACCAGGATATATACATGTTATTGTATAGGTCTCTACATCGAGGGAAAATTTTCAACGAAAAAACGAGATGGAAATATATTCGAAGAGCATCCTCCATGATTATCGAATAATGCGTTGCGTTCATGTTCGATGAGATTCGGTACGAATTAGACGGTGTCGAAATCGATAGATCTAGAAACATTGGTATTACCAGTACGATCAAAAATTTCGTATCGTTAACCACTAGCAAGAGTATAACGTTAGAAAATGCAGGATGGGACGACAAAATGCACTTATTTCGCACACCGCCATCCGAGGATTTCAACTTTTGCGTACCACTCAACATACTCCTAGTATTTTGCGAGGATTACAAACGCATAGTAATAAACGCGTGACACGAATACCTGATACGTGCGCGTAACGATAACAATTACGTTGTGGCGCATGAATCGACGGAACCTAAAATCACGCTATTGAAGATATAATGGAAAATGCCACATGTAGTGCTAAACGATGTCAATAAATTATCACTTTTGTGAACGTTGGAAGGTGGACGATATCTCAGCATGGGTTTCCGGTCGTGGGATCTGTACGAATTTCCTTTGCTTTAAAGCACAACGAAGCATTCGTGGGCTGTTAAAACTACATCACAATTGGAAAAAACCGCGATATGTAATTTTTGCGCTTCAAAGCCGGAAGAAGAAACGTACCGTCGCCAAATGGTTCGCAATTCGACGCATGTAACCTCACTAATGTGAAACTTTTTCTAAATTCTGATTTTTATCTTTACGACGATATAAATTTAGACATCGAACTCAACAAATTCGCTATACTCTACGATACGAGGTCTGTTCAAAAAGTATCGCGAATTTTGAATTTCCGCGGGTTACGTATATTCGATTTTCGATTTTTTTGTGGCGTTATGTTGGTACTCATGTCTCTCACTTATGCCGACAAGTTCGGCCATTTTGAATGTTCAGTTAATTTTTGACAGCTGCTTTGCTTACACGTGTTTTGGCTCGTCTTCGATTTTTGCCTATTCCAAAAAATGGATCAAAGAATCTGTATCAAATTTTGTGTGAAAAACAAAATTAAGTGCGCGGACGCATTCCGAATGTTGACTGTGGCATATGGTGAAGCTACCTTGGACCGAAGCAACGTTTATCGGTGGTACAAAATGTTCTCAGAGGGCCGAGAAGATGTGAACGACGAAGAGCGTGCCGGACGCCCGAGCAACACACGAACAACAGACGAAAACATTGATGAAGTGAAGAAAATAGTATTGGCCAATCGGAACGGTCAATAAGGAATATTACCTGCAAGTTATGCGCAATTTGCGCGAAGCAATCCGCCAGAAACGCCCGGATTTGTGGAAGAACAAAAATTGGCTTTTGCACCATGATAACGCCCCTGCTCACACATCGTTGCTTGTGCGCGAATTTTTGACCAAAAACAACACACTAATGATGCCGCAGCCACCGTATTCCCCAGATCTGGCCCCCTGTAATTTTTTCTTGTTCCCGAAACTGAAGAGGCCCATGAAAGGACGACGCTACGCTACGATTGAGGAGATAAAGACGGCATCGAAGGAGGAGCTGAACGAGATCACAAAAAATAATTTTTTGAAGTGCTTCG